TATCTACATTTTTCTCGGGATGCGCTATAAGGCTACTCCTTTCCATTTCCAACTGCCAAGATATTTTTTTTTATGTGCGCAACAACACACGGGCGTCCGGTCTTAGTACACAGAGACTAAGGAAACATTAAAAGAAGCCCACGTGAAAAGAATCCCAAGCCTTTAGCAGGGTGAAAGTAGAGAGTCAAAATCCCCAAAAATATCATAATTAGTTTTCCATAACACCACAAATGGAACCAATCTACTACTTTTCCTCCTTTCCCCTCCCAAATCACCCACCACCGCCCTCCCAAAACTGTTCTTATCGTAGTTAGCAGAACCGCTTTTGAATAAATGAGAAATTGTGCTGGTTGAGATAAAACGAATTGTCATTAAAGGAAAGGAAAAACAAATTAGGCTCACATGAAAGGCCATGAAAAAAATGTCAGGAAACAAAAGCTTAAAAACTAAATGTAAACAAAACCCTAACTAGTTATGCTAAAGGTAATAAAGCCATGAAATTAAATAAACTAAACTTATCTACATTATTTACATAAACATTACAGTTATACTTGACTATGTCTTTTACATGCACACTTTGTGTCAATGTGTCTATGCCAATTACATAAACGATATATTCGCAAATGACTATGGACTATGCACCACACAGAGAAGGTTAGTACTGATAAAAGACAATACACGTAGCCAAAGAATAAAAAGGGGAGAAAAAGGCTAAAACAGAAAGACATGAAAATAATGATAATAAATAAGACACGGCAATCAGATTGCTCACAGTGTAAACCTGCTACAAGATGTGGAATTATGCATTTACCTTGACAGGATACACAGTCTAGGAGAAAAGAGTCGTCGAATTAAGAACACCAACTAGAAAAGCCGCCATAATCCCAGAAGACTTAAAATCGAAGAAAACTAGCAAAAAATGTAGAATATTTGTGTCTAACTCAAATAAAAAAAAAAAAATTGCGTTGGCATGGTAAAAACGTATAAAAGTAAAAGACAGGAATATAAATTACAAAGATTTAAGTGTTTGCACCAATAAGAGCCACTTAGATTTTTTTTACGTCGGTGAAACGAATATAATAAACAAGCTATCATTGTTTAGCAGATCGTTTGCAGAGCGTTGCACGCATCGTATCCCACTGGAAAGACGGTCTTTTCCCTCCTTTGAGTATTAATCTCCTGACGACGTTTTTAATATTTAATGCCTATATTCATGCTGGTCTAGGGGGCTGCGTGGTCTCGAGGTATTGTGTCCGCCCCGAGTGCTAGAGTTTCCGGGTTCAATCCCCTGTAAGGGCTGGGATTTTTTCGTGTGGACTTGGACTTCTAGTAATTCCCCTGGTCTCTGGGTAGTGAGATCGGACGCCCGTGTGCAATGTTGCGCACGTAAAATTAAAAAGTCCCTTGGCAGTTATGTAGCCTAAGGGCGCTGCCCGGGCAGAATTCGGAATTAAAAGAAATCTACCCAAAGTATTTCAGGATCCTCGCCTGTGCTACAGAGCCTGTGCACTGTGCTGAGTTTATTCAGACTCAGAAGAAGAACGGAACACTTATGGATTACTAACCGTGTGTCATGATGTTGATTCGTTGTTCAAACCCTCAAACCTCATTGTGTAGCAGGTCATCTGCAGAGCCTTGCACATATCAAATCCGACAAGAAAGTCGGTCTTTACCCTCCTTCGAGTATTAACCTTCTCAAGGCGTTTTTAATATATAATGTCTACATTCATGTTGGTCGCTTCTTCAAGGACCCCCCCCCCCCCCCCCCACCCCCAACATGGGTTTCCGGGCCCAAATTTCCCTAAGTCGTGAAAGTCGACTAGTTAGGTGTGTAAGTCTAAATGCATCTAAATGAGAGGTGAGGGACCGACAGTCAGCATCAAAGAAGCCTCGTTTTTATAACCAATGTACATTCAAAGATCAGGTTCTAAAACAAGAACAGCGTCCAGAAGTGGACGAACAACCATAACGTTTTTGTCGGAGTTTACAGTCGGTAATGTTAAGACGAAGTTTAATAAAATAATGTCTTCTGTTGCAAATTTTACGAGACCACTAAGACATTTAACAGGATAGAAAAAGTGCATTTTCCATGACACCACGCCAGTTTTCATAAATGTTCAGATCTTATCTAATGCCAATATTCGCCTAATCCTTGGCCATTTGTATTTTAAGAAGGTTTCCGTAATCATCATCGTCGTCATTATCATTATCAACATTATTATCATAATCATCATCATAATCATCATGTGCTGTGTCCATAGGTGTAGGCCATACTGTTTCGTTATTGCACAAGATCACCAGCATCACGGATCAGGTTAGGGTTCTTGTCTATCCATATTCATATGGCCAGGCAATTCAAGTGCCTATCTCTTTGCCCTCCCTATGTTCTTTCTTCATCACGCTTGCCAGTCGTCGTAAAGTTTTAGGGTTTTCGAGTAAATTCTTCTCTCATTACGTGTTCGAAAAGCATTGGCCGTCCACGTATAATATTTCTACTCAGTTCGTGGCTTTCCTCGATCTCAGTAAGGACCGCCTCCTATGTTTTTTTTTTCTATCCTCTTTTTTTATTTTATTTTCGGGGGGGGGGGGGGGGGGGGGGGGTCTTATCTCTACTTTTGGGATGCCAAGAGCTGACCGTCTGAAAAGAAACACAATAAACACAAATGATGGTAACAACGGTCCTGAAACCAGTGCTCTAACTAAGGACATATTTTCTTGACGCGGGCGGGTCTTGGTCGTCACACTCGCCATCGCCATGGGCTGTGAGCCCCATGCCTACTCGAAGCGCAGTAAAACACCGTCGTCTGGAAAGACGGAAATTGTCAACATAACATTGAGAAGAAAGGTTAGGGAATGAAGTTTGAAGTTTCAACATCATGGCACACGGGTAATAACACTCTGCTTGTTTTCTAACTCAAGTCTGACTCGGAAAAAGCTCAGCACAGTTCCAGGCTCTATAGCACCGGCAAGGATCCTGAAAAATTTTGGGTAAATTTGTAACTCAAAATTTTGCCTGGGCAGCGCCCTTAAATTACTCTTTTCGATTTCCAACTGCAAAGGGATATTTTACGTGCGCAAAAATTCACACGGGCGTCCGATCTCACTAATAGCGGGGATTACTAGAAGTGCAAGTCCACTTGAAAAAATCCCAGCTCTTACCTGGAATTGAACCCGGAACCTCTAGCACTCGAGGTGGACACCATGACTCGAGACCACGCAGCCCCCTAGATCACATTTATAAATGGTACACTTTAAGTAATACCACGTGCAGACAACACCCCCCCCCCCCCCCCAAAAAAAAAAAAAAAAAGCTGAGACTTACTAGTTGGACGTGTAGAAAAAATTAACCGGAGAATGCTTGAACAAGAAGAATATGAGAAACACAACAGGTAGACACAAGAGAGAACTAAGCCACCAACAGGTAACGAAAATCTTCAAGAGTCGAGGTACGGTTCAGGAATGCTTGTTTTACTATACCAGTAGACCGTTCTTCTCGCTGAAAGCTGGTATATTAGAAATCATACAGCTTGTCTACGCATGATTGATGACGGCATTGAAACGCACTCAGCGCCGTTAAACAACAAACAACGAATGCATATGAGGTAACTATTCACAATTCTTAATGATAAAGACAAGTAAAGTGAGGTGAGTCGAATCTTTATCATGACTTGTAGTGCAGCGGTCATAAAGTGCTAGTCTATTCCTAATTTTCTCTAGACTAATAGGAATCTAGTCTGTGTTTGTGGCCTAAGGGTTGTCAGCACAGTTTCACACAATTCCGAAATGCAAAGTTCGAAGCCAGCTTTCTGTCAGATAAGGTAGCTGCACTGATATTGATAACGATAGTAACAACTATTGTTGAACTACTGTTGTAAATGGAACGGACTCACCGAGCATGCTTCAGACAAATTGAAACTGGCCTCCTGAGCACAGAGTGGCTTGCATCAATGATAAAAATCAGATAAGGAGCGCATCACGGATGTTCTGTCAATGATATTCAGGTGTGCGAGGTAACGAGCAGGCTGATAGATTAGTTCCTGCTGCTTTTCTGGGCGGTGAGCTACTATATAATAACGCGGACATGGTGAAGACTCTCTGGGATCACATGGACATTGCAAGTGAACAGACGAAAAACTCATACACTGAAAGGTTAAGTCAACCTCGTGGCTGAGAGAGGTTCTGGGAGGTATTCAGTGAGGGGAAAACACGGGTGGACATTTCATCAGGCTGCAGATGCGAGTATTAGCAATAAGTTTAAGCCTTTAGTTGAAACATCTTTTAATTTGCCTGGATACAAATCTAAACTTTTGAATTCCCAGACCCGCATGTATGCGTTCGAGCAACTGTGTTACCTATGGAACCTTTCTGTATTTCTAGACGACAACGTTGTTTTGGCCGTGGGCAGGCAAGTAAATCACAGTTCATTGCGATGATGAAGGTGACTAGCAAAACCCGCTCCCATAAAGAATAGTCTTCCACAATTAGAGCATGCGATTTCAGGACCTTTGTTGTCACCACTTATATTTCGTGTCTTCTTCTCAGACATTCTTAATCATTCTGTAATCATTTATTTTCTGCTGTTCCTATTCCGTTTCTGATTTTCCCCTTTACCCAGCACAGTCCATTGTGTTCCTACTAATTCCCTTCAATACCTGCATCATTTATGTTCCGCTTGCGTACATTCTTATGTCACATTAGAGGTCAGACTCGACATCTTCTACCAATCCGTACGTAATTCACCATAAAGGATGTATTTAAGGACTCAACTGTGTTACAACTGCCAGATTATCTAGCAGACAAGGCGGTTACCACGAGCTACCTGCACTGGACAGGAGTGATGCAATTAATACCATGCGAGCTGCATGTCGCAAAGAAGATCACGACAATAAGCATTACTCAATATCCTTCTCCAGGTTCGTGGACTTAGCGGTGCAGCTTGGAGTAGCTGGACATGAACAATTCCCAGGGGCACACGACGTCTGATTAAGTAACACAGAACGGGAGTGATTAGTCGTTTTAATCTTGTGGAGCTACTGGCAAAGAAGATCGGAGCACCTATGGGGCTGTTCAGAGCGTTGTGATGATAGTCCTCACTGGTCACCAGCCCATGCCCCTTTTAATAATTTTTAAAATGGAAAACAATAATTACAGTTCTGAATCTGGCGGTTTTAAGAGATTTCGTTTAAAAATAAACACCCCACAATAGATTAAATATAGACGCTGTGTCTGCTATTAATGTTAAAGCTGAAAAGAAAAGGAACAACTAACATTTAAATGCAGCAATAACAGAACGCAAGTCACGCACGCTGACATAACACAACAGCAGTTACCTGTAAAATATATTTGCAGTCAATTAACTTGCAGCCTTTCAGGTGGGAAGGAGGAAGCGGTGGCACTTGTATCCGATCTTTCCAGACGTAGTTCTTCCCCCGGGGAATCTGTTCTTTACACAAAGAACTGATAACTTTCTTCTCTTGTTTGAACTTTCCCTCTGCCTGGTAAGTTATATGCTGTCGAAAGGAAAGGTCGTGTTGCTCAAAACAGGCATTGGAGAGAGACATTCAAGGGCAGATAATTTGGTGATAAACAATTTCATTGTAAACATTGTGTGAATTGACGGATTCTGGATCAGGATTTCAGGAATTTATCCATTAGACATCTAGCAGTATATCAGGTTTTAAGGTTTTGAACAACGCATAATATATACATATTATACATCATTAAAACATTACAAGTTTAGTAAAGTAAAAATCCCTTTTCACGCCTTTATGCGCATCGGGTATATGGGAAGAGCGCTCATATATTTTTTAGACGTTCGGCACTAGGTGGGTATGTGGTCAGCATTACGCCTGCCGTCTTTACTTCACCAGGACAGCCATCCTGGTACCCAGTTTAGGCTGGGTCGACCTGCGACGCCCCATATCACGATAAAAATCCACACAAAAACAAGTATTGCAGTCTTTAATTAGGTAAAAAAAAAACTAGGGGCTTTTGAGAAAAAAATGCTTTAGAAAGGTTCTCAGAAAACGATGGACCAAAAAGAAAACAAATATCCACACCCTAAAAAATCTGAACATCAACGAAGATTGGCTTGTAAATAGCATCTTGTCTCGGAAACTGAAATATTTTAGACATGTAAAGCGCCAGTGGACTGAAAATCATGATGTCCATGGAAGCTAATTAGGGTATTTTTCCGAAGTTGCAGTTATCAGTCTGAGAGGTGAGAACCAACATTCTGCATATAAATCAGCCAGATATGTAAAACAGATGTACATCCACAACTGAAGTTCTGGAACATGACCAAAGTCCACAAGTGGACTTAGAACCACAACGTTTTGCTGGAGTTTACAACAGCCAGTGAACGTTGAGAAGACAGAAGAATAGGTCGTTTGGTAATTGATGTCAAACGGAGATGGAAAGCTAAATTTTAAGTTAGCCAAAACATTTATACGCATAAAAAACATTTACAATATGAAAATCGACAGCATTACAAACACAAGCAAATGCACGATAGAGAGAGAGAGAGAGAGAGAGAGAGAGAGAGAGAGAGAGAGAGAGAGAGAGAGAGAGAGAGAGAGAGAGAGAGAGAGAAGAGAAGAGAAGTTGAGTGAAGAGAAAAAAAGAGAGGTGAAGAGAAGTGAAGAGAAGAGAACAGAAGAGTCGAGAAGATAAGTGAAGGGAAGAGAAGAAAAGAGAAGAGAAATGAAGAGAAGTGACGGAAAGAGAAGATAAGAGAAGTGAAGAGTAATGAAGTGAAGAGGAGAGACGTGAAGAGAAGAGAAGAAAAGTGAAAAGAAGAGAAAAGAAAAGAAAAGTGAGAGAGAGGGAGAGAAGAGGAAAGAAAAGAGAGAGAAAGATCTTTTACAAACCATCTTGAGGGTAATCTCAGCCCAGCACGTTGAACCCGTTAAGTTTTCTATTTCAGAATTGAACCCTATCTCCGATCCGGGCACAAAGCCTTTTCTGGTGGTTGACAGAGATCCTTTGTATCGACCAGAAGGCACGCAGCAGCAACCAGTTCGTAGCTCCCCTCGGTACTCTATTGGCATCTAGAAATATTTTATGTCATTTTAAAAATAAATACTAATATCATTCAAAGTATCTTACTGAAGTGAAAATATAATGTTTGAAACCCGTACTGTCCTTATGTAGGTGTAGAGCAAAATAGCAGCTGCTCCTGAACACAAACATGTTGGGAAATATAACTAATTAAAGGTTTACTGAAATCGGATGTGATTAGTGATTAGAAAGGATTATCATCACAGCGCTTTGGACAGATCAAAAGGTGCTCCGATCTCCTCCTCAAAAGATCCATGAGTGTAAAACGACCAATGACGCCTGTTCTGTGTTGGTTAATGAAACGTCTTGTCCCCTTAGTGAAATGTTCATTTCTTGCAGCTCCAGGCTGCACCCCCATGTCCATCAGTCTAGACAGGGATACGGAGTCATGTCCTTTGACGTGCTCCTCGGTACGGTAAGTGCAGCACATGGCATTGATAACATCACTTCTGCCCAGTACTGGACCAGCCATAGCAACCGCAATGTCAGCAAGATAGTCTGCGCACCCGCTATCTTAAACACCCGCATTACCTAGGACAACTAGGAAGTTTAAGGCAGCTAATCGTGAAGTGCTTAGTTTTGCAATCCATTCTGGCCTGATAAATCCAGCATGGACTTTTTTATTTTCATCGAGTCACTAAGAATGAATACTTGTGAGAACTTTTGAGTACCAAGTCATGGTAATTCCCTTGTTACGGCCATAGTTTCCATTGTGAGGCTACTAGTTGTAACAGCAAAGGCGCCATTTATCTCGCATGTGTTGAGTCAAAAGGAGGGGATAATGCATTCGCTGTAAACGTCAACATAATGTGTCAGCTGTCCCGTAGTGGAGGAAAACATGTAAATTCGTTTTAAAGAAAGGAAAAAAAACCCCCACATATTTTAATCATTTTAACAACGGAAAACAACAGGCTAATTTCTTTTTAAAGGAATAAAATCCATTGCAGTTATCTGTTGAAGGAAAACCCTCAAAATAACATCCAAATAATAAGTTGTTGTAAATGTTATAAGCTACATTAATAGTAAAGTAATGTGTAAAAATACTTCAAAATAGTTTGTGGGTCTTGTGGCGAGACAAAGTAGCATCTCTATGGGTGTAAAAAGACTATAGCCTGACTTTGAATACTTCACAGCCTGAAAGAGAGACTTCATAAGAGTAACATCATGGCTTACAACCCAAAGTAAACCACATCTGGGATTTCTCAAAGAAAATGACGAATTCGAAGAGTTCCTGGCTGAAAACCGAGATGAAAAGGAGGCACGTGAAGGTGTGAATGTGTTGCAAGATAACTAGGATGATGGTAACAAGGATGATGACTTTTCTAGACAGATTCTAGTTGAGCTGGAGAAGAAGGGTTAAAATATTGATGTTTCTAAACCAGTGAAGACACGGTGTGCCAGGAAAACTTTTGGGCATGTGCATCATTTTCATTATTATCAACATTAAATGTTCTTTCTGTTTTTTCATCCATCCACCCATCCATTCATCCATCTATCCATTCATCCATCCATTCATCCATCCATCCATCCATCCATCCATCCATCCATCCATCCATTCACAAAAATCACAGATCAGCCAGTATGTCCGTCTGTCTCTCCGTTTTTATTTTGACTGTCTATTGACTGGCTTTTATTGCCCGCTTGTAAATTTGTTTATATTTATACTTATTACATTTATAAAAAACCTTCAACATTCTAAACGTAAGTTTAAGATCTCACATGTAAAGAATTGCACTTATTTTAAATATCGTAAATACGAAACAATTCGACTGCCTGAGAGCAACCGTAGCTTAGCGGCTAGAGATTCGCCTGCTGGCCTGGAGGTAACGGGTTCAGAACCGCGTCTGAATTTGTTAAACATTCACTTAGCCTCCTAGTGTTGACTCAGCCTAAAATGGGTAAAGATCACTTCCACGCCTTAGGCGTATCGGGCATATGGAAAGAGCATCCCATATTTTTACAGACCAATCGGCGCTGGGTGGGTAATGTGATCAGCATTACGCCGGCCGCCTTTACTTCCACAGGGCAGCCATCCTGGTACCCATTTCAGGCTGGGTCGACCTGCGACGCCCTATACGATGATTAACATCCACAGTGGGTTCCGATCGCGGTACGTTGGAATTACTAGTCGGACTCACAACACCTTAGCCACGGACGCCGCACTCTTAAAATGGGTACCAGGTAAATTCCTAGGAAGTAAGTGTGGCCGGTTACTATTTGGGTTTTATGAACCGATTGTGGGAAAAACAAGAATAGACCCACTGTCTTCCCAACCAGCATGTCGTAATAGTCGACTAATTAGGGGCTTTCTTCAAAGTCAGACTGCATCGGAGTGAGAACAAGGAACAAACATTCTACGAGAAAGTCAGATGTGTAAAACAGATGTGCACACAAAACTCTGATTTTGGAACAAGTCTAGCGCCAAAAAGTGGACGAACAAGCAGAATTTTCTGCCGTAGTTTACAGTCTATTAACTGAAAGAAGAAGAAGAATGTGGCCGGTGTGATGCTGACCATCTTATTCTCCCACGGTCGATTGCTCCATTAAATATAGATCAGGCACTATAGACCGAAAACCACAAAATTGGTCGTTTACTTGACTTAGGATGACAAGCAGATCACTTACCCCTATACCGGGATACTGGTTAATATCCATGCATGGTATCACTGAAAATGCCCGTTTCGTGTGGTGGTCAAACTTCCATGGTTCATCTATGGTGGCCTTTATCCAGTATCGGATATAGCCAAAAGCCCCTTCAAATGATGGTGGTAGATCAGATGGAAGCTGAAACTCGAATGGAAATGTGTACTGGCCGGCTCCTAATGAGTTGTTGGCGTCTTCGGAGCTTTGTTCTTTGTGGACATGAAAATAAAATTGAATGAAGTGATTTGGAGCATTAAGGTGAAGAGATATCACTTACTAAGTGTAGAAAGAGAGACAGAGGAAGGCGGGGCGAGATGATTCTTGACAGCGTTTGTCATGGCATGGAGGGGTGACAACAATTAAACTGGTATACGCAGTTGTGGATCGCAGATTGTGAAGGACATAATCACCCACGCCAGTCGGCAAGGCACTTGATGATCTGATGAAATCTTAGGTGCTGGGTGGCCTACAAAATGTTGGACCTAGCATCATTTGACTGATACGCTAGTGACGTGAAAATGAATCATTTATGTGACCTATGTTTATCTTGAGGCACAGCATCTATTTGGAACTCGATGTGATACATTACGCACGATGGGTGATGCGGTCGTCTTTACTTCCCAGGATATTATCGTTTTACCAATTTTGGGGTAAGTCCCAATGGGAACCAAGATAGGTTTTGTAGAAGAATACGTCTCGATGAGGATTAAATCCTAGACCTTTGGTCAGGCAGGCGAGAGTCTGGCACCTAAGTTGCCTCGATTCCTTTACAGAAACACGTATTTCTTACAGTCCTTGCCATTTGCCCTTGGAAGTCATGTTTATTCACAAACTTCTATCAACCAGATCTGACTCAGATTACAGTCAGTAGTACTTTAGGGCAATATTAGATAGTATCAGGCCTACCCTGCAGCCGTCACCTTGCCGCCACCAACCTGCCATTACCTGCCGCTGCTGCCTGGTGCCACCACCCTGTCTGGAGTTATAACCCTGCTTGGTGTTGGCTGTTGCCGCCTGCTATGGCCTTATATGTAACGTATATTTTAAAAATAGGGGATTGGATAAATGATGCTATTTTAACAACACCAGGCAGAGTTTTGGCACCAGGCAGCACAGGGCAGAATGGTGGCAATAGGCAGCAGCAGCAGGTTGCGGCAGGCTGGTGGGGGCGGCAGGGTGGCATCTGTTACTACCTAATATTCCCCTATCGTCCATGCCAAGGTGTCAAACTGTCCAACATCTTTTTTTTCTTAATCACTTTCTACCCCTTTCTTCCTTAAACTTTCCCACAGTCACGATGAATGCAAGTTTTCTTTTCCCTAAAATGCCCCCCCCCCCTTTTACCCCAAAGTATTAATAAATAAACGCATAGGGTTACTGCAATACCTCGGTTTCACAGCAGACGACAATCATCATGAAACATGTATATCGCAGAACGTTGCTCTCGGCACGACACACCGGGAGGCTATTTGATCTCTTGCTGCCTTTCCTCTCTCATAATCTTTCAAGGGTGGCCTTGACATTCTGTGTTTACTCTCATTATGGTCGAACTCTACTTTTTCATCCAAGTACTATACATTTTGCTGTTATTTTCAAAGCACTATGACACCTACTTTGACCAAAATATTTCCATTTCCGTGAAATGACGCTGGTTATGAACCATTTCACCTCGATGTTCATACCTTGAAGAATGGCAATACATTTCCTTTTCTTGCTACATACTTTCCGAACAATCTTTTTGTGATCCTCAAGTTTACAGGAAGCTCTGCTTGAATGAAGATGCCAAAACGTTTGCTACGCGCTCTATTAGTCTCGGGTTCGTTTGACGGCTGCGTCGTTCGGCTCATGAGTGCAGTTGTTGTAGAGAAGATCCATGTGAATCTTCGCTGGACCTGCTAGTTCCTACTTTGTACGGCGCTCTCAGCAGGTATCTCGTCGTTCTGCTGGCAGAGACCGAGTCATGTGGGATAAAACTCCCTCCAATTAAGTCGATCCTCTCGACACTAACTGTAACTGAGCTTAAGTTCAAAAGCTTCATTTCCACACACACACACGCACACACACACACACATCTTTCAGCAGGTAATAAAAAAAATTAAAGGAATGTATTTCACACAAGGGCAAAGGAAATGAACGAACTTATGAAGATAGTGGTGAAAATCATTTTCGACTGTCTATAAATATAGTGTTCAAAACCAGACACATATAACCATCAGAAGACCCGTTCTTGTTCAACGGCCCATTTTTTAAAAAAATTATTGACCAGAAAGAACGAACATCTGAAAACTAGTGACGATCCTGATGAAAAAAGAACTGTCAACAAGTCTGACTGATTGAGCTGCCAGGTAAAGATTGTTCAATGTCAGCAGTAAAGAGCCATCGTACAACTATGAATTTATTTATAAGTAAAAGTAAATGACCCTCTTTGTCACGCCTTTCGTGTAAATTAGGTATATAGGGCTAGATCTATATTTTATAGACCAAATAGTAGGTGATCTGATCAGCATCACCCCTGCTGCGCCTTTACTTCCCAGGACTGTAGCTGATACTCACTCAAGGCTGGGTTGACCTTGGTACCAATATTACTATTGAAAAATCCGGACCTTGCTAGGGACCGAACTCACGACCTTCCGATCCGTAGCCAAGCGTCTAGCCGTTAGACCACTGCGGGTCCCATTTATTTATGTTTCAGGTCTTTAAAAAAAAAAAGAAATAACAGTTATGCCTACCATCTGGCCACAACTGGGTGCGAAACTGGAAATATTCCTCTTCTGCGGTGTGGTCTACTGTCTCCACTCTCTGTCTCCCTCCACGGTGACCAACATTCTCGACTTCTGACCAGTGCACATGCGCTCGCCCAAAACACGTGATACGTACACCTGCAATGAAATAGCATTTTTAGATGATAGAGAGGTTGACCAAATGTCCGTGACTTGTGACATTTTACCCCACCAGGAGATCACACAGAGTGATAAACGCCAGGTGACACAAAGTGCCACCATTCAGATGAAGATCACCCTGAAGAGGTCCCGGAAATCCTGTTCACCCATTAGGTTATATTAGGGCCCCCGGCAACAGATAGGGTGGGGCTTTAAAATAACGAAATATAGCATCCCACATGGGGGCGACTGAACTTAATGTAGCTGCAGACGATATTGATAGAAGATGCAAGTGTTGACGAAAGGTGTTAGCAGTTTCTAGATTAAAAACACGTGTTGTCGAACAATCGTTACAGACTAAAGACTCCGGATCCCAGTCACTTCAGGCTCTCTTCTCTCCGCCGCCCCATTGTGTGGTGTCCTTGACTCAGATTAGATTGAGATTCTGATAGCATCTTCAATTCTGCGTCTAGTCTAGTTTATTCCTCAGGTAGTTGAATTATTACATTAACTCACTTTATAACGGTATCATCATAGTTCATCATCATTGCGCGTTGAAGTCTTGCGTTAAGGATTATGCTTCTCTACACTTCGAAAACGAAACTAAGCAAACGATGCTTTTCCCGCGCCTCTGAATGCACTAAGCGTCTGGTGTCACTCCATATTTCTATGAACCAGACTGGCATTCAGCGGTGCATATGGTAAATGTTACACCTGCTATCTTTAAATCACATAACATCATTTCCTGCTATTAATATTAACTTGCGTCGACCAGAAAGTTCGAGTAAGATATTTTACAAAATCGTTATTTTGACGGATATTCCATTTTCCTGAGAGTAGGGAGAGGAATCAACAGCCTGCATAAAAATAAGACAGATTTGTAAAACGGATGTCCACTCAAAACTCAAGTTGTTGAACAACACCAACGTTCAGAAGTGGACGAACAAACAGTTTTCCGCCAGTATGTACAGCCGGTGAGAATAAAAAGATCTGGGTTCAAAGATGATAAGCAGATGAACAAGCAAACCTGCTAGCCACTTCACTTTCACGGCTTCCGATTCCATTGTGTCTCATGAATTAGAAAAGGGTTAGTTACAAGTTAGTGCAAAGCTTTTTTTTTTTTTTTTAGTGCATTACATTGCAAAAAAGTGGTACATTCACTTCAACGAATTTCTTTTTGATTAGACGCAAGAGGGCACGCTGGTCAGTGCAACATCTTTAAAAAAAAAAAAAAAATAAGAAACCAGCATGTTCATCTATTAGTTAATCATTTAATCTTTTAAACTTAGGTTTAGACATAGTTTAGACGACAGATCAACATCGTGGCACAAGGGTAGTAATCCATAATGCTTGGTTTTACTTCTGACTCAAGCCTGAGTCAGAAGAATCTCAGCGCAGTTCACTAACTCCATACACAGGCGAGGATCCTAAAATACTTTGGGTAAATTTGTAACTCTAGATTTTTTCTGGGCAGCCAACTGCCAAAGGCTTTTTTTTTTTAAAACTTGCGCAGCAATACACATGGGTGTTCAATCTTACTACCCAGAAACCAGGGGAACTTACTAAAAGGCGGACGCTATTCCTAGAGACCATGCAGCTATCCCCCCCTCCCCACCCCCAATCTTTTAAACTCACCAGAAAGATCCCGCATATGTGCCCCACAAACTGACAACAATTAAACACTCCTCTTCTGAATTCGGGGGGACGGGGTATTCCCCCTGTCTCTTAACAAGCATGTCCTAAAAGGCGACTTATTAGGGAAATGCTGAAATTTGATGTTTTGGACTGCAGATATCACAACCTAGCTGTAAAACACAACGTGCCAACTGCCATTTTAAGCATGATTACTTTACAGGGGGAAAAATACACCACCAAACGATGTGCGCGGTAATTCGGTTGACGTGTTTATATTGGCAACGGGAAAATCATCTGTTTCTTGTCGCAAGCAGGAAACCTGGAGGTCTATTTAGAAAGGTATGTTTAGCAGTTCCCTAAAATAATCTCTTAATTTTCTGCGACGTTTGTGAGATCTTACTCATGACTATTTTATTTATTAATCCACTTGACTGACTCTGTTGTTTTCTTTGATATACTCCTACGATCTAAGATGTGTCCTTTCGCTTATGTCTTCTCTTTGTTATGGTCAATTATCGCAATCGACGTCACTGCACACTTGATACTCCTACGCATGTTCATAGCTCCGATGCAACAGCCACTCTAAGATACCTTAAATGATTGCTGCCCCGAGAAGCTGGTTATAGTGCCTCTTATCTTGGCCTCGAAGACACCATTGTCGAGCATTACAATGCTTTACTCCCAGTTCACGCAATCTTGTTATAGTCGTTATTGGAGTTGGAAAGGTGGATTCAGGCTTTCGAATGTAAATGCTAGAGACGCATTTTACGAATTAGTTATTTAGAGCACAAAAGTTATAAATATATCAGAGACAAAATATATAAATTTGCAGGACATCAGAAGCCTCTCTTGGCAGTGGTGAAACGTCACAAGCTAGGTTGGTTTGTGCACGCAGTGTGACATGGTTCGATTGCAAAGACTGTTCTTCACAGAACATTGGGATAGGGGGTGGAGGGAGGGGGGTAGTCAAAGAAGAGAAGGCAAAAGAAAATGACAGGACTAAGTTATCATACACGTTTTCATTAAGCAGAAGACTGAGAAAGATGGCGGGTTTTATGTGCTAGTGAATCCATCAATACACCCACCCTAATGGGTCAAGGGTTGTGTTATGTTATAGTGGAAGATTCACCATAGTCTGCCAACAAAGTCTACGCAGTGTTGATGATATCTACTCTGGCTATGCTTCTTCCTGTATGCATTGGTTTATTACTTGCAAGCTGGTCGGCTCGTTTTTTACCTTTCACTCCTACATTACCAGGTGTATCGATCCAGAGGATGGAGATTAAATGCGACTTCTAAATGCTTTGATCAATCAGTAGCTGGTTCCTGCAGTGCGTCCCCAGTGTAAGGTTGTAATGCTTAGACAGGACATGCACCTCTTCTGGTGTGGCCGCCTATTCTTGTCCTTGCCTAATGTCGTTTGGGTCACATACCTGCTAGATTAAATTTCCAGCCTTAGCCATCCTGGAGCAGTCTCTTTGAATATGCATCTACTTTATATCAGTGATAGCATTGTGCAAAAAGTGGTTAATGTCTGCTAAAACATTCATGTGTGCTTTTACCTGTAACATTTTATGTCTGCTGGACTTCGTTGGTAAACAAAAGGAATATCACAGTGCTTTATTAATATCTGACCCCAATCATGGACAGTCTAATATTTCTGGGGGTGGGTAGCTAGGCTTCATGCAGTCGTGGGACCTAGGCTGCATGCGTTCGTTGGATCTAGGCTGCACTCTCACGTAGAACGTAGTTGGGTTGGGGTTAGGGCCAGGTCTAGATATTTTGGGGTTTTTAAAAGCATCAGAAAGCCGGCAAACCCAGTCATACCCCACTCTAAAATGTTGGACTGTCCTGTGACGTCATCTGGGGTAAAATATTAATAAAGAACCCACATCGCATTTGTGAAGTCGAGTATGAGTCTCGTAGGTTTATTTTGTATATGGTCCAGTCTTTCCACCTGGGCTCTGTTGACAGTGACGAGGCTGAGACTGTAGCCTTTAACATTTGACACAAGTCCCGGATAGAGAAGGAAAAGTAGGAATTATATTAATATTTCATCGTGTTTGTTCTGACGATGTCTATAGCTCTCTCCTCTTATAAAAAGGTCATCAAAACACTGTGTATTAGCCACTCTTAAGTGCCTTCTAGCTTCTGTACTAAGTACTATGTATCTTTCACGTGCTTTCTGCTAAAGTAATTTCGGTTTCACAGTTGTTTGAATTTGCTTTGTATACTTTACCCCTTATATTATTTCAAAAAGTACAAAGAATGCTCACTCTTTTTTTTTTTTTTTTTTCACAAGGATTTTTTTTTTCTTCAATTCGTGATTTATTCCAAATGTTTCAACCAACGCAAGCAGGCAATCCTATTGCATACCGCTTAAGAAACGGATTTATCATACCCAGTCATTGAAACTTGCCGGGGAAAATCTACAAATCTTGATACTTCAAATTTCTGGATGTTGAGACTTGATATCTAGCTTTTTCTGTACAATCGAAACCTGCATCATATATCTCGCAGAACACTTGCAGGGGTTATTTAAGCAAACTGTGGATCGAAGGAAATAAAATCTTTTAGCTGATCCATGTTTAGAGTGTGAAATTTATTTATTTCAAGTTTATGCAGGTTAATTTAGTTAAAATGGTTAACTTAAAACTACAGTCTGTGCGTACTAGATAAGTGATGTTGTTTCTATACAACTTTTCTTTAGTAAATAAGGTTGAATGTGTTCATTTCACCATTATGTCGAGTAAGTTGCATATCTACAATGGTTGGCTCTATGTCTGGTAATCTGGTAATCTTAGTTTCAGCTTCATTGCAAACGGGCGACCCCATAGTTGCTCCGCTCCTGTGCCAACTAAAAACACACAGACTGTTTATCACAGTCCCTTGTGGAAAGATTGACAGACTGCTGTTTCAGCATATGTACTAGCATACACACGCATTAAAAGCATACGGCAGCCATCCGAAGTGCTAACACAAACAGTCCGACATTAATAATGCAGTTCATCATGGATGGTAGCAGAAGTCGGCAACAGATAAACAGTTGCACACGCGATCAATTTTAATCACATAATGGCACCACCAATTTTGCGACAACAGGATTTGATCCATTTTCTGAATCTACAATTCACATCACCACGTTGGTCACAGTAGAAAAGCATTTAACATGAAATCAGCAGCTCACAGTGTCATGCCATGCACTTAACTCAGAAGCTGGACGACGAAACTAACCTTTCAGTCTACAAATGGAGCAAAAATGCACCGGCCACCGTACGGCAGAAGCAAAACATTGTGCCACGTCTCACAACAGTAACCGTGCCTAGCGTCCATTTTGACCGGAAGTAATGAGGGTTTATTAATGG